TTAAATATCTGATTGCTTTAGACTTTCCCAGCATTACCCACCATCCTCAAATATTACAGTCATGCCATTTTTGTGAGTGTATGCTTTGTGTGCTGGCAAGTCAATTTTGATTCATAGTGACCCTATAGGACAGAGTAGCACTACAGGGTTTCTTAGGCTGTAATCTTTACAGGAGCCCATAGTCAGATCTTTTCTCCCAAGGAGCCACTTGGGTTCCAACTGCCCAAATTTTAGTTAGCAGCTGAGTGCTTAAGCATTGTGCCACCAGAAAATACTCTCTGTCTCTCTCTCTGTATACATCCAGTGTATGTTTATATGTGTATATATATACATGTGTGTGTGTTTATGTATGTATACAGAGAACATACATAGCACATATATGTATACACACACATATATACATACATATATATATGTTGTGGATGGAGTTGCTAGGAGTTGGAATCAACTCAACGATACTTTATATATATATAATGATGGAAGTAAACTTTAGATTCCACTGGAAAACTGTATGCATAATGAATAAAAGCAAAATGCTTTGGCTTAGCCACTCAGAAATTGTGGGACACTGGAAAATGTTGCGAATATATCTAAATTTTGTTTTCATTATTTTTAAAATGAAAATAATAATACTGCAAATCCCATATATTTTGTTGTGAAAAGAAAAAAAAAAAATCTCTCTTGGGGCAAAGTGCTAATTACAGAGGCTGAATCACAGTCAGCACTTAATAAAAACATGCCCCGATGGATATTATTCTCAGTAGAGACTTTAGTATATAAAGTGTATTTTAATGGAATGAGTTTGGTTATATAATTTAAGACTTGAACCCCTAAGATAAATATGTACATTATTCACATTTGCAAGTGTAGAATCAATTACTATAAAGCATATTTATTTGCTTTCTTCAATACATTTATTGTATTAATGGTAAGCTGAATTATAACAATAATTTTTATTAATTCTCACATATTCTAATCAATAAATCAAGTTTATTATCTTTTGCATCATGAAAAATCTTGTTTTGCCTAATATTCTATAGTATACATAATGTATATATTTTTAAATGTACTATATTCTCATTTCCTGAATTATATTAAAAATATCTTATCTACAAGTGATCATTCCGTACCTTTATTAGTTTATCTGGCAGGAGTAGTTTATCCTTCAGTCATTTAACTACAGATCTAGGCAACATACATGCTACGATAAAAGTCAGATAAATGGAAATGTTCCTTCCATAGAGGAAGGAGATATAAACAAACTCAACATAGAATAATAGATCCTTTTTTAAGCCATGTTTTAAGCCCCTGTTTTTATCTCCTAACTTCACGTAAAACCTTGCTGTTTTTAATAGCCATAGAAAATATTGCTACACTTTATCATTGCCAGCAGTATTTTCAAATGTGAGATGATGGTGAAAACCTTTTATATAACATCATTTTTGTAAGTATGAAAAGCTGGCAATAATTGAGTACAGCGTATGCTGGCAAGCACTCCTTCTACACACAGGCAAGTTTTTAAATTGTCACTCTAACAAAAATTATTAACTGCCTTTCTGTTTTTTGTGTCTTTTGGAGTTGCCCGTGTCCCATCCTGAACTTGGGAGGTGACATCCTACTATTCCATTCTAGCTCCTACACTCTTCTGGAGCAGGAGTTTGGCAGATGATCCAGAAAAAAGCCATGACACACAATCTGTGAGTCCACTGCTCAGAAGACAAATCGTGCGTCAGCTATGAAAGAATCGGAGCACCTGCTATCCATTCCTCCTCCTTCCTTGTTCTGTGACCTGCGCTGCACGGAAGGTTTAATTCCGTCAGAACGTTCAGTCTGCCTGGCAGAATTACAATCCTGTCTCGGAACCTCCTCTAACCCTACAGAAGCCCCTCAATGCCTTTCTTTTCTTTCTTTCTTTTAAATTTTATTGTGACTGAGACTTTTATTTATTAATTTTAGTAAAAGATAAGTATTTGTTTCTTGGATTTTAATACATTTATAGGCATTTGAATAGTTCTGGGTCCCTCTAGGTCAAGTCCTACTATTATTACCACTCCTTCAAAAAACTCTTTATGTATGTTTGTAAATTCTGAAACGACAAAATATTTTCCTAAACTTTTTCCATCAATAGTTTATTTCTGCCTTAAAACTTGGGGTTAGTTTGGAGGGATTTATTTTCATAGAGAAGGTTCTCATTAAAAGGTAGGCAGTATGTAGAGGAGAGCCGATTTCCCTTGCGGCCCCGTGACCTACCCAGCAGAATGACGATGCAGAGGAGAATGGCGACCAGGGCCCCGGTGCTGAGGCCGGCGGGGAGCAGCAAGGCTTCTGCGCTGCAGGACTGCATGTTGCCTTGGCCGTCACAGGCGCACACGCGGATGGTCAGCGTGCCGGTGCTGCTCTGAATCGGGTAGTCATTGTCTGATATCACCACAGGCAGGAGATAAGTACTGATTTCGTGCCTGTTGAATCCATTCTTTCTGGTTAAAATTCTGGCAGTATTATCTACAAGAAATTTGTAAATATTACAAATTGTTGGGAATACTCACTTGGTTGCATCCTGATAACCAGAGTTGAAAATGTAAAACATAAAAAAAGTGCATTGAGTTGAAAGTGATTCAGATTTTCCTAATTTAGAGAATACACAAATGATGGTTTGAGCAATGAAAGACCATACTTTGTTTGCTTATTGGTTTTTCTAATAATCCCCTGTTGATGTTTTCAAAATCATCAATTTTGATAAGTGAATCATCTATCAAAACTACATAGACAGAAGGGCGGGGCAAGATGGCGGACTAGGCAGAAGGATTGCACAGACCCTCTTCAACAAAGAAAAGGGAAACTGATTAACACAGACACAGAAGATAA